GCCTAGGGCGCTGGCCTAGGGCGCTGGCCTAGGGCGCTGGCCTAGGGCGCTGGCCTAGGGCGCTGGCCTAGGGCGCTGGCAGTGAAGGTCGCCAAGGGCACCACATGGGCTTCACCCGGCAAACAGCACGCACACAGAAACAAGGTGAGATTTCAACCTCCAAACCTGGAGGTGTGTGCCAACAGCGCCACTTAGTGTCAGAGCCTGACAATGAAATTGAATTCAATCGAGTTTTCTAGCTAGTGTTATCGCATTTAACCATTAATGATGTGTCTATTTAGATGTAGTTAGTAGAGCTTGCCTATTCCTGACAGCAACCTATGAGATACTACTATGTATACAATGGCTCATCAACTAAGGCCAAATTTCATGCAAGGAATAAAGGTAAATCAGTAGGTATTGAGTGTGTACAGAGGACTGCTCACCTGGGTGCAGTTGACCTGGATTCTAGCTTGACATGAATCACTTCTCTCCTCAAGGAGTCATGAGAGACAAGTACGGCTGTACGATATTGGAACATGTTTTTTGGGAAAAATATTCGGAAAAAGGAATCGAAAATTTACCTAAAATAAACTTTAGCCAAACAGAACTTGTTATATTCTACCAACAGGGTCTGCCAGATAAGTTGGAGGTGCTGCCAAGATTTTTGCCAATAGATGCAAAGCAGTGCCAACAAATCACTTGTTTGTGCTCAATATCGTCTTTATGGAATACAAAATACCTTTATTTCCAAACAGCAAAAACGTAGAGCGTACAGTGTTTTGATAACCAGATTGATTGCATTTCTCCTCCTCACTCATTTTATGAAATGTCTCAGAAAGGCACCACACTGTATTTGCGTATGATTGGCTTGGAGAGCCACACGCAGAGCTCCTGTAAAAGCAGCGACATTGCAGAGCTTGAGAAGTTTGGCTTCACATGACACAATAAAAATGTTTTAGTTAACTTACTGATTATCAAAAATAGGCTTGGGTGGTGTTAAGGTGATATGGTCTGTCATTTGCCCCCCCCCCCCCAGCTAATTTTAATCGCCAAGACTTCAAACGACCAGAATAAGAAGACCTTTTATCGGCAAAATCATTGTTTTTCAGGAGAAACAAAAAAAATAAAAATAAAAATTCCTGACGCTTCATTAGTGTTGTACGTAGTTTATACAACACTAATGTTAAATAAGGTTTGCAGTGCCAGTGAATATAACAAAGTGATACGTATGAAGCATCCAGCATTCATCTTCATTGCCTATTATAACATTCAATGTAATTGCGAAGGTAAGGATACATGAAACTTATTTTGTTTTAGATATTGGCACAGAGAAATAAGTCCTGGTGATGAACAGCGTCAGTGTGTACCTTCTCAGAAAGGTATAGGAGTTTTTTTTACTGTCTGGGTCTATTGACTCAGATTCAGACCCCAGACTGCTTTTCCTCTCTTATTAGGGCAATCACAGGATTTTATTGGCAAAAAATGCCCCAGATAAAATGCCCTACAAAAGCCTTAATATCTTGGAGGACTATTTTTTATTAAACAAGTTAATGTGCATTCTTCAATAGACAGATAACCCAAAACCACCTGAGCTGAAAAAGTTTGGTTCAAGAATAGTACATCACAAATCTCCCATTTACAAACAAGCCTAGAATATCCAAAAATTGTTACAAAGACTATATTACTATTTCTTAAGTAAATTCTTAAGTAAAGCCTTTCACCTTGCACTTATACTCCATTTTGGCATATCCTTTTCTTTTATAATAATACATTTCTTTCCCAACAAACAGTCAGAGAGGAACAGCCAGCCTTGGACAGCTGTTCAGTGATGGCCCGCTGTGACCTTTGACCTCATCCAAAGAGAACATACCATACAAAGCCACTGCCATTTGCAGTGTATCCAGCTAAAACGAAACATTAGGAAAATGATTAATATTAGAAACATTAATACTAAGAATTTTACTCTTCTTAAAACTCATATTGGATCATTTTTATTGATAGTAATTTAAAAAAAGACTGATTTAGACAAGCTGAAGGGCAAGGGAATCAACCTTCTTACAGATTCAAAAGAGCACAAACTTCACAGAAGACAAATCATACATGAAAAACTTAAATATATATTAGACAGGGACGGCCTAAACCAGGTCTGATTGATTACCAAAATATTCACAGCTGAGCCTAATTACTCCTTTCATTAACTTGGGGACAAATACTTGTTCACGCTTAACTGCACATTTGAGTTCAATATAACTGGGGCAACACTACTGGTGCAATTTTTCTTCTTCAGGCTCCCTTCCGTACTACTAGAAACAAGAAAAAAAGATCTAATTGAATTTCAAAAAGCTGGGTAGCGAGAAAATAGAGAAAATCAAAAGTTTTCCAGTACACTTTTATCCAGCACAAGGTTAAAGTGAGCCTGGATTCTATCCTGAGAAACTCAAGGCAGGTGTTACCAGTCTGTCACAGGGTACAAACTCATTTTATGAGCAGTTTTGAGTCTAGGGTGACCAGATAATCCATGTCAGAGAGGACACTTTGAATTACTTTGGGTTTTATGAACTACTTTCAAATTGAAAGGCTCCTCTGCTTGGCTAAATAGTTCAGCTCTTGTGCTTTGCCTGGTTTGTTTCCCTGAGTGAGACTCATCCAGCTGTTTCACATTAGCATTAGTGACACATGCATGATTATAGGAGACTGACCAATCAGCACACAGCAAGAACTCAGTGCTAAAGTGAAATCCAGGTCCTTTTAATTGAAATGGTAATTTAAAATTCCTGTCCTGGCTCAGAGTGTCCTCCCTGACATGGATTATCTGGTCACCCTTGTTTTGAGTCCACAGTTTAACAAATCACATGTTTCTAGACTGTCAGAGGAAACCCCCCCCCAACACCCACCTTTTAGGAAGCATTAATGGCACAATCCAAATAATTCCGGGGGCATCACAAACTTTTTTTTTTCTCAAAACATTTATCTATCCACGTATTCTTAACATTACTTGCTTACAAAATATAATTACTTGGTAATTACCCAAATTGTATTCCATTACTTCTAACATGCAAATCTTCATAAACTTCGTAAACATTTGGATTTGATAATAAAGATGATCAAACGCGATTGTTAAATGTAAACGCAAATGACACGCCACTGAAACACAAAATGTAAATATTAACATGTGGTTTAGTCATCTGACCGACTTGAAATTCAATTTTTATTATATGGGCTTGACATCATTTTATCAGTTGTTTTCTTAAATCAACGTCTTAGTCATTTCTCTCTTACATTTTTATATACTTTGGTACATCAGGCCAATTCCGTTGAAATTTAACAGGAGGAAATACCAGAGCGTCTTGACTTGTTTGAATGCTGATTATTATCCGCCAAGGAACTCTTATTTTGAAAAGCATTTACCGGAACTGTTTTGCTACCTTGTTGCCAGCCGTAATTTCCTGGACTTGACGTGGAAATCGAGTTGGAGATGCTGCATAAGGAAATTCGCCTGTTATGAAGTTTGTTGCTGAGGCGTCATGTTAGATTTTTCTTCAACGACTGCAGGTAAAATCGGTCTCACTAGGTAAATAAGAAGTAAAAGCTGGCGTAATTATTTTAAATTAATTACCATTGTCGCCTGTAAATGCGTTGATTTGTTAAACAGAAGCAAACTTCTATTGAAATGGGCGACGCGATTGTTGATACCTGAATCATAAACCTGAAATAATGTAATTATGTCAGATACATTGTATTAGTAACTATATACATGAAGTTGGCTCTATGACATTCCGTACAACGCCTAGTGCGCAAATTCTAGTTACCTAGTTAACTAGTAAAAAATTAAATATGAGGTTTAATCTATTTTTTCTAACAAGGAATTTTGTAGTGTATAAAGGAAGTAAGCAAAATTTAACCAGGGGCAAAGTTCTGTAGAATATAACACTACTTTTAATCCTTATGTATTGCATATTTTAATCATTTTTCCCCCATACATTTAACGCGATTTAGTGCTTTCTGTTGCTGGAATTTCGTCACGTTGGAAGCGAAGCCAACGGGGCTGAATGAGTTTGATTTTAACATATATTCGGATATTTGTTTATACATCGTGGATTTCTTAGTAGTAACCTATAGCGCCAACGTGACTAAGGCTGCATTTGTGCGGAAATATTTCTCATTCCACGTTTTGTTCAAACTTATTTTAAACGATTACAGACAAATCATCATCCATAAATGAAGCGTGAAAATATCTTATCGCTGAAGTAAAATACCGTGTTCCTCTGGTGTTGTTGTAAGGCGAGGCTGTGTAGGAAACGTTGCGTTTGAGGCGGAATGCTGAGCTGGCTGCCGCGGAATGCTGTCCGGGTGCAAGCGTCAATATTAACTCAGGTTTCCTTGTTGTTTTTTCCCCTGTTCCTTCACAGATTGCTGTCAGAAGACGTGAAATTTGCTGCTGCTTCCTTCTTTTAGAGCCGTTCAAAGGGGAAAAAACAAGGCTCTCCCTGTGGAAGATATTATTCTTATAGTAATGAATTAAGATATTAGCTAATTTTATAATCTAGACAATTTGGGGGGGAAAAAATCTGGAAGGCTTGTCTTGTGAATATAATTTAATGTGGCCATGAGATAGAGACAAGTATAGTTAGCATTATTTTACTTTTGATAAATAATCTGGCCATGAGCATGTTTCTGGCCCTGTTCAAGTGCCTGCGAAAGGGAAAATATTTCATACTTATCCTGTTGTCTGTTTCGATCTTGGCCTGGATTGCTAGTTTTGCCAGCGACATAGTGCGGGAGGTGCCAAACACTTTATTGCTCTGGTCAAAAACAGATAAGCCTACCAAAAATGTTATGCATGAACAAAAACCTGGTCTCATGGAGGAACTGTCAAGTAGAAAACCACATTCAGACGCAAGTACTCCATCTCTTCAGAAAACTTGTCCTCTCCGATCACCGTTTCTATGTGAGTACTCAGAGGAACACTGCTGAATGTCTTTTTGTAGTGTTGCTTCCTAATGTGAAGGTATATTCAGCATCACCATGGAAGGTGGCAGTGTGGCTCCGTGGGTTGGCCTGCAGCTGCACACTTCCAGGAAAAGGGGTTCAAATCCCATCTAGGCCTTGCATGTGTGGAGGCTGTGTATATGTTCTTCATGTTATGTGGTTTTTCCATCCATCCAAAAAACTTGCTGTTAGCCTCAGTGGTATCTCTAAATTGCTTGTAGTGCCTTGTGATGGACTGGCATCTTGTATAGCGTGTACCCCAGCCTTGGCCCCTGTGACGGACTGGCATCTCGTATAGCGTGTACCCCAGCCTTGGCCCCTGTGACGGACTGGCCTCTCGTGTAGCGTGTACCCCTGCCTTTTGGCCCTGTGAAGGACTGGCATCTCGTACAGCTTGTACACCAGCCTTGGGCCCTGTGACGGACTGGCATCTTGTATAGCTTGTACATCAGCCTTGGGCCCTGTGAAGGACTGGCATCTTGTATAGCTTGTACACCAGCCTTGGGCCCTGTGACGGACTGGCATCTTGTATAGCGTGTACCCCAGGCTTGGGCCCTGTGAAGGACTGGCATCTCGTATAGCTTGTACACCAGCCTTGGGCCCTGTGACGGGCTGGCATCTTGTATAGCGTGTACCCCAGGCTTGGGCCCTGTGACGGACTGGCATCTTGTATAGCGTGTACCCCAGCCTTGGGCCCTGTGACGGACTGGCCCCTCGTATAGCGTGTACCCCAGCCTTGGGCCCTGTGACGGACTGGCCCCTCGTATAGCGTGTACCCCATTCTTGGACCCTGTGACGGACTGGCATCTTGTATAGCGTGTACCCCAGCCTTGGGCCCTGTGACGGACTGGCCCCTCGTATAGCGTGTACCCCAGCATTGGACCCTGTGACGGACTGGCATCTTGTATAGCGTGTACCCCTGCCTTGGGCCCTGTGACGGACTGGCCCCTCGTATAGCGTGTACCCCAGCCTTGGGCCCTGTGACGGACTGGCCCCTTGTATAGCGTGTATCCCAGTCTTGGACCCTGTGACGGACTGGCATCTTGTATAGCGTGTACCCCAGCCTTGGGCCCTGTGAAGGACTGGCATCTCGTATAGCGTGTACCCCTGCCTTTGGACCCTGTGATGAACTGGCCCCTTGTATAGCGTGTACCCCAGCCTTGGGTGCTGTGACGGACTGGCCCCTCATATAGCGTGTACCCCAGCCTTGGGCCCTGTGAAGGACTGGCATCTCGTATAGCGTGTACCCCTGCCTTTTGGCCTTGTGATGGACTGGCATCTCGTATAGCGTGTACCCCAGCCTTGGGCCCTGTGACGGACTGGCATCTTGTATAGCGTGTACCCCAGGCTTGGGCCCTGTGACGGACTGGCATCTTGTATAGCTTGTACACCAGCGTTGGGCCCTGTGACGGACTGGCATCTCGTATAGCTTGTACACCAGCCTTGGGCCCTGTGACGGACTGGCATCTTGTATAGCGTGTACCCCTGCCTTCGGCCCTATGACGGACTGGCATCTTGTATAGCTTGTACCCCAGCCTTGGGCCCTGTGACGGACTGGCCCCTCGTATAGCGTGTACCCCAGCCTTCGGCCCTGTGACGGACTGGCATCTTGTATAGCTTGTACCCCAGCCTTGGGCCCTGTGACGGACTGGCATCTTGTATAGCTTGTACACCAGCCATGGGCCCTGTGACGGACTGGCATCTTGTATAGCTTGTACCCAAGCCTTGTAGTTTAAAAACTAAACTTTGTCCAATTCAAAACTAAACTAATCTTCAGTTCAATAATGCTTTGAATCATGTGACGGAGGTAAACTATCTCTGAAGAATGGCTGGTTGGTACTCAAGGAAGTTTGCGAACCACTGCACTAGACAAATAAGCACTGTAAGCACTGTGTGTTTTTTAATGAAATAGTGGGCGTTAAATTGTTATGGGCATTACATTTACAATTAAGAATACAGCTTATGAATGTTGCACTTCTAACATGCAATACAGTTTGATTAACCTTGTATGATTGATTAGGGAGAACTGTTATTACATTATGTGCTACACTCGTCCACCAGTAAACGCATCAGGAGCATTGTAATTAATGTTGGACGGAATGCATACAATTACATGTTGATTTTTAGGACATTTGTGGAAGTTGAATAAGAAACAATTAAGTGGAAAAAACCACACATAGCATAGCAGGGTACCAGGATATTGATACATTCCACAACGGATTTGCATGTCAGTAGGTACTATAGTTTAGGAGATTGATTCACCATTTCTCATTTTGTCCTGTAACATTTATTTTTGACCCTGTTCAGTGAACAGTTTTATGAAAATTGTCTGTTGCTAGGTCATGCAATATAGAAAGAGCTGGTGTCTGAAGAAATCCTAATTACGCAGTATTTGTGAAATCGGTGCATAAATTATTCATTGAGCTGTGGTAGTTTTTTATGTACCAATTTTGAAAATTAATCATGCTGCGAAAAGAAGTTTTATGAATTAATTTTTTTTAGTTATTAAAATTTTGCTAAGCTGTTTGGTGAGAACTTCGAATGCATCACGCAGGTTATATTACTTATTTTATGAGTTTGTTACATGCATTTATCAATTAAATCCCAATGGGAGATGGGTGTAGTCTGGCATTGACTCAGCAGTTCAGTGTTATCCCAAAACTGTTGGTTACTGTAGGATTGTATTCCAGTTATTCTTAAATACCTTTTGCAATGAATGAGTTTAACTACCCTCCGCTCCCCTGCCCTCCGCCCCCCTACCCTCCCCACTCCTGTTTACAGAGCCCGCCTTGGCATCTGCTCAGATATGCAGGTCTGACACTCTCCTTGCTTCTCCGTCTTACTCAGTGTTCATTACTCAGTGATTTTTATTTTATAAATGTGGGATGGTGTTTCTCTCTCTCTCTCCAAATATTGCCTTATAAATAGTGATGACTCTTAAGAACCTTCTTACAGTTGACAAGATGGGTTTTCTTTTCTCCTCTTAAAAGTATAAAATTGAAATATCACAAAATAAGCATCAAAGCTTCAAAATAATGCAGTTTATCTATTTATCTATTATACACCTGTACTAATAACTTACGAGGTCATTGCAGTGATGCAGTAGGATTGTGCTCTACCTGTCCATCTTCCAAATAATCGTTTGATCGCAGCGATGAATCAGCTTGTGCCCTGACTTTCTTTGCTATTTCTCCGTGCTTTGATTCACCTCACTGGAATTTGCACTGCTGCTTGCTCAGTTTGATGCCACCCCAGTTAATTGCCTGCTGGGCTTGTTAGCTAAAGTTAAACCACTCTTACTAGTACAATCTTGCAAAATGTGCTTGCTTAAACCACAGCAACATGCAATGCTGTGAGTGATGAGCTGTATATATGTCTTAATTGTATAAGAAATAGTCATTCTGTAAAAAGTGTAATTAGTCAAAACCCCATAGTGAATATTCCTACTTTAATCGGTCATCTGTGGAATGCAGATTTTTAAAAATTATGGATATTTAATTTCAGTTCAATTTTCTTAATGTATCAGTTGCAGTTGATAATCTCATAAGGTATTTTTTTTCTTTCAAATTGTAAATTCATCCAGGTTTGCTGGATTCAGTTGTGGAGGATGGTTTTAAAAAGCTGATTTTCAATGTTGGCATTAAACTAAATCTAAGTGCACAATTACATAAGATTTTGCAAGCAGTCTTTGAAGATTTAATACACCCCTGTTGTATATTACAAGATTGATTTATTTATTTTTTTTACCACAAATGTCTATAGCAATGTTTTATTTTATTCAATACCATCACACTTTGATAAACTATTAATATTTTTGGCAATGTATGACACCACTATAGCTACAGAATCCGGCAAAAAATCAGCAGGATATTGACGCATAAAGGCTTCGCTATTCTTTTAAATGTCATCATTCAAAGCGTGGATGAGAACGCTGCCTTCTTTTATTATATTGCACATTGATCTCAAGTTGTTGCACGACTATTGCAGCTCATTCCAAGACCTTTTCTGCCTGTCTTTTCTTCAGGATAATTCTGCAAACACGCTCAGAGATGACAGCTCAGTTTATTTTGGTCATTTAAAGCTGTTCCATGTCTTCCTTTGTGATACATTTTAATGGCTTCTCTTACTAGTAAAAAACATTTTTCTATGAAAATGTTCTTGAATATATTCAAACGCTGGACAGCTTGATATGTTAACCTTTTAGTGATAGTTCTGTTTTAGGTTGCCGTAAACTTAGAAAACAGTATTTCTCCTATTCATGTTTTTATTTTATATTATAAATCCTTGTAGGCAAAACTTGCATATGAGATGGAAGAAGATGAAGTTAAAAAGCCCTTAAGTAGAAATTATAGAAAATTTGTCTATTTGATTATTTTTGGCAGGGATTGTAATAAAATGCTATTCTCCTTTAGATACTTAACAATAATATGGTATAATTTGCTGGTAAGAGAACTTCTGAGCTTGAGTTCAGATGTTCAGAAGGCTGTCGTTTGGTCTGTGATATCTGAGAACAGAACTGATAATTGATTGTAACTCTCCTGCTACAATTAATAACCTATGATACCTATTAATAAGCATTACTGAAACTTCTGTTAAAACATTTCATTGTTGATGACTTTCTGACATTAGGCAAAGCAGACCGAAAGACTGAAATGATATAAAAAGAACAATTTATAAATAGCTGGAAGTCTTGTTCCAAAAACATTAACATAGATTACAGTTGTTTGTTTCTCTAGAAGTGTGGTTGATTTGTAGAAGGTTAAACCAGTGCTCATGTGGTGAATAAACCACTATTTAGGTAGGTAAATAAGTTTACTAAAAACGTACACATGGTCGTCCTTGTTGTCCTCTATAATACTTTGACAATTTACAGGGGTTGGACACCGAAACTGAAACACCTGGTTTAAGACCCCAATAATTGATTAGTATGGTGTAGGGCCTCCTTTTGTCTTGGGAATGACAGATACAGGTCCTGCACAGTGGCCAGAGGGATTTTGAGCCATTCCTCTCACAGAACAGTGGCCAGGTCACTATGTGATGCTGGTGGAGGAAAATGTTTCCTGACTCGCTCTTCCCAAACACCCAAAAGTGGCTCAATAATATTCAGACCTGGTGACTGTACAGGCCATGGGAGATGTTCAACTTCACTTTCATGTTCATCAAACCACTCTGTCACCATTCTTGCTGTGTGCATTATCATCCTGATACATAGAACCAACTTCACGGAACAATGTTTGAATCACTGGGCGAACATGGTCCCCCAGAATGGTTCCGTAGTCCTTGACAGTTACTCACCCACCTAGAACAAGTAGTTGGCCTAGGGAATGCCATGATATCACAGCCCAAACCATTACTGATCCACCCCTGTGCTGCACCATTGAAACTGATGTTTGCTATAGGCACAAATGACCAAAGGTTTGGCATTAGCAGCCCGACCATGAACATTGACCCTGTGGAGCTCCTGAGCAGTTTTGGTGGAAACAGGAGAGTCAAGGTGCGCATTTAATTCTGCAGTGAGTTGGGCAGCTGTGGTTTTATGCTTTTTGGATACAATCCGGGTTAGTGCCCAGACGTCCCTTTCAGACAGCTTCCTCTTTCATCCACAGTTACTCCTGTTGGATGTGGTCCATCCTTCGTGGTGGTATGCTGACATTACCCTGGATACTGTGGCTCTCGATACACCACAAAGACCTGCTGTCCTGGTCACAGATCAGCCAGCAAGACACGCACCAAGGATTTGTCCTCTTTAAACTCTATGTCTCCCATTGTGTTGTGTGGATTGCAATATTTTATGTGCAGCTGCGCTGTTGCTCTGCTGATTCAGCCTTCACACTCTTCTATTACTGATGGAATGTGCCATCAGTGAAGACTGGCCACCAGGCTGTGTATATATAGGCATCAGACCTCAAACACTATACTGGCCAGTATTTCAGTTTCATTTACCAACCCTTGTATGTTTAGAGTAGACGTTCAGTTATTCAGCCAGTAGCAGTTGCCACAGGTTTTGGATATTTCTTGTCCATTCTGCTTAAATGATGGGGAAGTACCTGTTGAGGCAGGTCTTCGGGTCAAGTTTCAAAGAAATGTCTTCAGTCATCCATGTCTTACAAATATACCATTCAGCCTACCACTTACCCCTGTCCAAGGCACAATAAAATACTTTTGACCTGGTGGCACTGAGGCCTGATGAACCTTTTTCAGGATCACTTCAGGTCACATTTTAAATGCTAACCCATTGAGCTTTGTGTGCGATTCCTTTTTACCTGGCAAATTATTTAAATAGCATCTCCACCCTGAGAGCCGGATTCTCGTTTTACCTTTTTGGACGGCATGTAAGAATTCAAAAGGTTTCACTCCTCTGTGTCCATCTCGTTAATTGTTTCTGCGATCTGGGTTCTTTGTAGACCTGATTACTATTCCTTGTGAAGGTTGATGTTGTTCTCACGTTTTTGAGGCCACAGTGAAGTTCCTGCACCCATTACATTTCATTGCTGCTCTGTTAGGGGAATTCTGACTTGTAACTACAGCTATTTTTTTTATGATTTAAAACCTACTGCTGTGTTTAAAATAAAAATTTTTTTTTTTTGAAAATCTGGCCTTTTCCCCCCAGTGAGTAGGAATGTTAGTTTGTCTGCATGTTTCAGTCTGATTGGGTATGATATTGGCAATTCTCTCTCCCAACTTCCTAATTAAAGACCTGGCCATAATGACAAACATACGTTTAAAAAAAATCTCCTGATAATTTAGCCACACATTGTTTAATAGTGTGCTAAAGCAGTTACAGCACTAATGTAAAAATGTGGTGAGAGTTTATGACTCTTAAGATGAGTTTTTATATGCAGAATATATTGGCTAAAATGACAACTGTATGTAGGTGCTAGTGATACAAACTGTAGGCCTATTGCAACAATATGTATCCTGTAAGTATAGCAATATTCAGAAAACCACTTTTCTTTTTCATATAAATGTGCGAGAGAGCAGGCCTCTAGTTTTCGGATTGTACTGAGCAGGCCTCTGGTTTCCGGATTGTACTATCCATTCATGTTGTTTTGCTGAGAGCGAATTACTGCAGGATTTTTCCGTGAATTGTTTTGTTCTGAACATTGTACACCGCTGTCCGGTTGAGTAGTTGATTGGAGTTAGAAAAGTATCAAGTTTTGTATCTCGCCGCGTGACAAACTTCAGCTTGAAATTTAATGTTCAAATGTATTGTGCTACACTGGTAAATTTTGGGGCAGCGTGTGGCTCAGTGGGCTAAGCCCAGAAGGTCGTTGGTTCAAACCCAGCCTCAACACATCTGTGGGTCCTTGAGTTAGGACCTTAACTCCCAGCTCCATGGGTGCTGCTACAGGTGGCTGCCCTTCACAGACAACTTACTCTACAAAGAGCAAGCCCAGGGAGGTGTAAAAACAATTTCCCCACGGGGACAATAAAGTGTCTATTATTATTTATTTCACTAGGAGTAGGTGTCAGTTTAAATATGTGACAGTAATGGATTAATCAGAGTACACTCCTTAGTCATTTCATTAAGTAAAAGTATGACCCCCCTCTTTTGTCTTGAGAACCATTTCAAGTGCAGAGGAGTTACGTGTTCAGAGAATCCCAGGAAAGCGCCTGTTTTACCATGTCTGGCACCAACAATCACACGATGTTCGATGTTCACAATGTTCAGAATATCACTGTAGATTTTCTGATGTTTAGCTGCACAGTAAATTAACCTCATTCAGCTGCAGCCACGTTATTCACCGTGTGTAGGAGCAGGTTGTAGCTCTAATGAGCGGCTCTACCCAGCGAAACAGTCACTGGGTGAAGGCTGGTTTCACAATGTTGAGGGACTAGTTGAAGGTAAACTTGTTTTACAGGTTTGCTTGGTGTTTTTATTACTGTAATATAATCTGTCTGATTTGTTCATCGGGATGCTTTTTAAGAATGCACGTTAGCTTCTCAGAATCAAAGAATATATCATTTGATCTTTTCAACAATTTTTACCAAATTTGTGACTCTTACTGTATGACAGATTTTTCTGGGTTCTGAACAGTTAGAACTACTTGAGTTTGTGGTGTAAATCTTATCCAGGACAAATTTAGATTCCGTAGTATCTATAACCACATGAGATTATGCTGAACTCATCATGATCCGAATTGATATTCAGATACAGTAGAATTATCTATGTTTCAAACATTCTTTGAGTCATGTGACAAATTATTTGTTGAGGTGTGCAGTTCCTTTGCTTCCCATATGCGTTCAGCCTCAGATGTGCCCCATAGACGAAAACACGTTATTGAAAAAGTAACATCTGTTTATTTTTAGTGGGATCTGTGCGGCTTTCATTCGAACCTTCCCTCACGATGAATGACGTGGAGAGTGCAAACAGCAAGCTGATCAAGGGTCAGTTTCAGCCTGATGACTGCAAGCCCCGGCAGAATGTGGCCATCCTCATTCCTCATCGCAACCGGGAGATGCATCTTCTCTACCTGTTGCATCACCTGCACCCTTTTTTGCAGAGACAGCAGTTGCACTATGGCATCTATGTGATCCAGCAGGTACAGCTTTTTAATCCTTTAATTCATGTAATTATGTTATAGGGGACTGAATTATTGTGTTTACACTGCCCATACAGTTGGGGATGAATATGTTTTTTAACAGTATGACTATAAAGTAGTTTCTTTTCGTTATAACAACACAATAGTTGGTGTCTCAGGACCAAATGAACATAACTACATGTTAATAGTTTGATCCGGATGTTGCTTGTGGAGCAGTAGGCCTCGGTCTCCCTGTACGTTCATTGTTTTTGAGAGTGGTGGAAGAGCCATAACTTTAGAAGTTTCAGAAAATAAAGTGGCGTGTTTTACTTTTTTGTTGATGAATGCATTTTCTCTGTTCCAGGCTGGCAGTAGTGTGTTCAACCGCGCCAAACTGCTGAATGTTGGATTTCTGGAAGCTCTGAAGGACTACAACTGGGACTGCTTTGTTTTCCATGATGTGGACCTCATACCAGAGAATGATCATAACCTCTATGCGTGCGAGCGGCAGCCAAAACACCTAGTGGTTGGCAGGAATGTCACGGGTTACAGGTGTGTGTCTATGGTTGTTTCTGTGTTCTTGGTTAGTTCAAAATATATTTATTGTCATGGGAAGAACAGTGACTAGCACTGTCTGCTACACTGTAAAAAATGTCCGTGAAATTAACTGAGAAA